CGTTGGTGCTCTCTTTTGCACGACACGCACCGCTGCCGTCCTGCCTGGCTGCATGGGCGGAGCACCGTAACTGTTTTGTTTTGTTTTTATTGCATTGAGTGGGCGACCTCTCTCTCTCTCCCTCTGTGTGTGTGTTTTGCTTTACGGGAGCAATGAGAGTGTGTGCACTGGTCGTCCCACGCTTCGGCTTTTTGTTTTGTTTTTCTTTTTGATTTTGTGGTTGAGTGCACGCATTCCGCGGGCTGCGTGTGTGTGATGGTGTGAGTAATTTGCGTGTGTGCTATCTGCCTCTCTCTGCCGTTGCTTTCTTCAGACTCTCTTATGCCGCACAGTCACTCTGCAAGTATAGGCGCTGCCAAACACACAAGCACATGCACACACATGCCGTGTTTAAAACGCTGAGAATGCACGCACACGAATTTGAATGCGGCGGCCCTTGCGAGGACGGAGGACGGGAGACCGCGATGTATCTTGTTGATGTACTGCGGGCGTGTTTTTGGTGGCGTGCAGTCGATTGGGTGGTGTGACATTGGAGATGCCTGGGGCAACTGTTGATTGATTCCTGCCAGCAGCTGCACGTGCAGATGTGTATCTCCCGCTGTGGGTCCGTCGGCCGAAGGATCGTTTGGCTGTGCGGGGCGATGTGAGCTGGAAGGGACAAAAGTAAAACGACGGGTGGCAGCGTGTCGGTGCTGCGAAGGGCGGCCGTGGCCCTTTGCATTCTGCTGGTTCACTTTTTTTTGGCTGTTGCTCGGTGTGTGCGCGCTGACGAATAACACACCCGCCGTGACTCCTGCTGCTGGTGGTGGTGGCAGTCGCTGTGTGTTCCCGGTGCACTGTTCTTCCTCCTCGTTCCGTGTGTCTGTGTGCGTGAGTTGTTGTTGTGGGGAGTGACTGCGGCGGGGATGATGGTGCCACTCACTGTAGGTGGCGGTGCTTACTCTCTTGCCTCTTTTTATTATCCTGTTTTCTTCATTTCTTTCACTCTCTTACGAAGAAAGCAAACAAGCGCTAAACGCTACTGTGAAATTCGAAGGCTCTGAAAGGACCAACAACACACACACCGCCCACACACACATATTTATATGCTCTCACGTGTTGCTGCAGTGAAGGCACCCCGCACACACAACCGTCGCCGCGTGACCGGATCCAGCGGGAGGGGGAGGGAAGGAGGAGAGAGTGAGCCGCAGAGGCCCAACATGTCCCGGCGTGTGTTTACCTCCACGTTGCTGCTCCTCCTTGTCGTGATGGTGTGCTGCATCACTGGTGGGGCTGCGGCTTCTGATGGTCTGTCAGGTCCAAATTATAAATGGAAGGACGTCAAGAATGAGGGTGATGTAACTGTGGACTCGTTGGGTGTTCCCGGCCTTCTAAAAGTGGAGAGTGATGTGTTTGCCGTTGCCGAGGCGCAGTGCAACAAGGATGGAAAATGTTTTACTGGCATTACATCCCAACTTCTCACGATGGAAAAGGGTAAAGAACCGGAGGAAGTGCTGAAGAATGCCAAGGAGAAAACACAAGTTCTGGAGGAAGTTACTTCTGGAAAGGCAAAAAAACTAGATGTGAGCCGACCAACCGCAGTTGTGGATGAAAGTAATATTTACATGCTTGTTGGAAAACACAGCCATGAAGCTGCCGCTAACTGTCAGGCTGAGACTGAGAACATCAAATCGGGAATGTTGCTGGTGAAGGGTGAGGTCGGTGAAGGCGGTAACAAAATAAATTGGAACGATACTGACGGTGTACCGTGCACTCTAGGTGACCAACACAACTCCTTGAAGCGGCTGATTGGCGGCGGTGGATCGGGTATTAAGATGAGGGACGGTACGCTTGTGTTCCCAGTGCAAGGCACGAAAAAGGAGAATGAGGAGGCCGTAGAGGATGAAAAGCCCGTTTCGCTGGTCATATACTTCTCGGATGCTGCAAGCTGTACACTGTCGAAGGGGATGTCTGCCGATGGCTGCAGTGATCCCTCCGTCGTAGAGTGGAGGGAGGGAAAACTCATCATGATGACTGCGTGTGATGATGGCCGCCGCAGGGTGTACGAGTCCGGTGACAAGGGGGATTCGTGGACGGAGGCACTCGGGACACTCTCGCGCGTGTGGGGCAACAACCACAAGGGAAATGAGAAGCACGTTGGGAGCGGTTTCATCACAGCGAAGATTGACGGTGTTGAAGATAACAGGAATATGATGCTCGTTACTCTGCCGGTATATTCTAAGAAGGATGGTACCGAAAATGAAAAGGGCGTACTCCATCTTTGGCTGACGGACAATACGCACATTGCTGATATTGGGCCGGTATCCGGGGAAGCTGAGGACGCTGCCGCCAGCTCCCTGTTGTACAAAAGTAGTGATAATAGTGAGTTGATTGCACTGTACGAGAAGAAGAAAGGCGGAGGGGAGACACCATCACTCGGTATGGTCTCTGTGCTTCTGACTGCGCAGCTGAAACGGGTGAAGGATGTGCTGACGACCTGGAAGGAAGTGGACGAACGTGTCTCCAAGCTGTGCCTTTCTGAGAAGGATGCCTCACCTGCCAATGCCTGCAGCAATACTGTTAAGATCACGGCTGGTCTGGTTGGCTTTTTGTCCGGCAACTTCTCTGGTGACACATGGAAGGACGAGTACCTCGGGGTGAACGCCACAGTGAAGGGAGCGGAAGAAGGGGCGGCAGAAGAGAAAGCAGAGAAAGCAGAGTCTTCAGATGGGGTGAATTTCCAGGGAGCGTGGGCGGAGTGGCCCGTTGGCAGGCAAGGGGATAATCAGCTGTACCACTTTGCGAACCACAACTTCACTCTTGTGGCGACGGTGTCCATCCACAAGGTGCCGCAGGAGGGTCCCATTCCATTGATGGGTGCGAAGATGAATGAGGATGGGAAGACTGTGCTCCTGGGACTGTCGTACAACAAAGAAGGGAAGTGGCAGTTGTTGTGCGGCGGTACAGTGACCAAGGATCTCAGCAGCACTTGGGAGTCACAGACACAGTACCAATTGGCCATTGTGCTACAGAACGGCAACCAGAGCTCTGCGTACGTCGATGGTCAGCGTGTGGGAGATGCGCAATGTAACTTGGAAAACACGGATTCGAAAGGGATCTCACACTTCTACATTGGAGGGGATTGAGGCAGCGCAGAGGGCCAAGAGGGCGTGCCTGTGACGGTGACGAACGTCCTGCTGTACAACCGCCCGTTGAGTTCCGAAGAGATTGGCGCCCTCAACCCGAATAAAGACCCCACTCCACCTTTGAAAGAGGACCCGTTGACGCCTTCAACAGTTTCTTCTGCTTCCGTTGTATCTCCCATCCCTTCGGTGGCCGCAACTGCTCAGATAGCCGGAACTTCGTCCACTCCCGCCGGAACACATCGGACGGAACAGGGGCAGCCGATAGGGAGCAGTGGTGCGGGCAGTGGCGGTGCATCCACATCAGCGGTGTCCACTTTCAGTATTCCATCAGCAGGAAAGGAATCCGTAAAGCAGGCGGCGTCAGGAAAATCTTCTGATGGAGCTCAAACCGTGGATGGCGGTTCTACTGCTGATGGCGAGCCAACGATGGAGACAAGAGAAGGAGGAACGGATGTGCAGAAGGGAGAGGAGGGAATCCATCCACATAACAGGGAAGTAAATGCCACGGCACTCAACAGCAGCCTCGGAAATTTGTCGCAGGGGAATAACAGCGATGCCGGCACTGTGCGTGGGAGCGGACTGCTGCCATCGTTGTTGCTTCTGTTGGGACTGTGGGGGTTTGCGGCTCAGTGAGGAGTGACTGGCTGCCGCGTGGAATACCTGCGACCTCCCGAGCACAGAATTACTTCCCCGATAACTGATATCTCTGATACCTTTAATTTTTTGCGTATTTTAAATTTATTTTAATGTTTGCTTCTTTCTTGTTTTAAAATTCATTTTTTTTTTTTTTTCGATCCTTTTTTCTTCTAATCAATCACCTCCTTTTTTTGCTTTTGGGGCAATCACTATGGACGTTTTTTTTCTTTTCTACTCTTCCTTCTTTTTTTTGTTGCCGCACTCTTCCTGTGAGGGGTGCCGTGTGTTTCCGCCCAACTGCTCCACTCGCACACCCACCGACACGCTCATGACGACGGCCCTGTGCGCCTCGCCTGCTGCACGCATGAGGAGGGGCCGCGACGAACGGCGCGCTGAGGGAGCCGTGACGTGTGGGCGTGCGACGAGGGCCTGTGGGGCGGAGCACACATTTCTTCCCTCTTGTTTTGTTTTCTTTGCGGCCAGGGCGGGCAGACACCCGCAGCGCCACACACACAGCCACACCCTGCCGCCGTGTTTTTAAGATTTTTTGTTTTTGCTGCGCTCACTCTCCCGATGGAGTGACGCGACTGCCGCCATGTCTGCGTGCTTCTCTCAGTCCCCACACACACGAGTGACTGTGCTCTGCGGGCCGCACTCACGCGCCGATGAGAGGGCTGAGGGGAGCAGCAACACGCAGATGACCCCGTGAAATATAAACGATGTACGGACACGCAGAGGGTCGGACGGTTGAAAGACATTTAAATATCTTTTAATTTTATTTTGCGGGCAAAATATATGCAGACAGTTTGGTGTGGCCACACGGCAGCCGGCTGCTTTTTCAAATTTGTGGAACAGTAATGGACGATTTCTTTTTCATTTATAATTATTTTGTGTGATGGGGTTTGTGTAAGACGAAGGGAAGGTTTTTTTGTTTCAAATAAATGTTGTGTGGGTTGCCGCTGCTTGGGCTGCGGTGCACTCATGAGTTTGAGCGGTCTTCTCCTTGTTGCTTCTGCCACGCACCTCCGCTGTGCATTTTATTTTGTGCGTCTTTCCACACACTCTGCTTCCATTTTCATACTTCTTTGCTTCGTGTTTCTGCAGGCACATGCACACACAATGCACATTGCAGTGGATTTGAATGCTTCTTTTGTAGTGCATGCTGGCAGTTGCGTGTGGCTGCTGCTTCCTCCGTGGGCATGGAGGGAAGGGGAGAGGGAGCGCGCACCGCGAGTCACTCTTCTTGCGGGTGTGATGCGCGCGGTGGGCTGCGACTGCTGTGGAGGGCCGCTTCTCTTCGGTGTGTGCTTCTCCGCCGTTGTGCCGTGCGTTGGCGCATGTCATTTGTTATGCGCGTGCGTGCTGGGCATGTTTTTCCGGAGCGTTGGGCGGCTGCCATCTGTCTATGGCGGCTTGTGTGAGTGGGCACGTGCGGATAGGGGTCAGGGCGCATGGAATGAAGGAATGGCGTGCGGAAAGGGGAATTTGGTTTGGAGGGTATTTGGACCAGATTCATTTGGCTGCGGTGGACACATGCACGACGGATGTGTTTCCGCATAATGGGGAAGGATGCGACAGGATTTTCCGAAGTGGCCCCTCAATGCAGTTTGAGTTTCGTAGCACCGAGGCACAGTGGTCTTCCTGCAATGGCTGGTGACGGCCTCTAGTGGACCGGTGTATTTATGCTGCTGCTGCTGCTCGAGGAGGCGTAGAAGTGCGAGTTGAGGTGAGTGGCGGAAGGGCCGCACATCCCGCAGTGACGGTCGTCGTTGGCCCACCGGGTGCCTCTGAGGGTTTTGTTGGATGCAACGTCCTTATGCTCGTCTCCGGATGGCGGCATCCCTGATGCAGCCAACGAACGGGGCTGGGAGCGACGGTGAGACGCAAGCACGTGTGGATGTTTGGAGCGGCCGGCGCACCGCACGCTGAGCGCATGGCACGGTGAGGGCCGGACCTAAAAAAGGGACACCGCGTGGGACGTCAATCTTCACTGCAGCGACCGCCACCGAATTCGGATGTGCTCGCACCTTCTGCGTTCCCTCTTCCTCCCCTCACTTCTGTGCCGAGGACTGTGCCGCGGGATCCAGCAGCGCGATGTTTGGCCGCAGGAACATGTCCCGAACAAATGATTTGTGGGAGGGGATGTGCACTGCGACGAAAAGAAGGAAGAAAATGTTGCGAGACGACCACCACCACAAGACCGGAGTGAAGTTGTGTTTTGTCCACTTGCGCGAGGGCGGCCTGCCACCTGGTCGGTTAGGAGGATTATTTTTTTTTTTTTGCGTCGTTGCGCTCTCTTTTTATTCCGCTGCGTTTTCTTGCGGACCTGCGAAGGGAGATTTGCAAGAAATTCCTGCGAGGCGTCCGTGCCGTCGTCGGAAAAGCGGAATCCCCCTTGAAAAACGCTACTTTATAAATTTGTTTTGGGCGGGGAGTTCCTGTCGATTCACTGCGACTTTGTTTTGCGGATTTGATGCGTGTGTTTCCGAGCGGCTCGATCTGTGCTCCCGGCCCACTCGGATGTGTTGTGCGCGTCGACGTGAAGGTGCCTGCCAGCCGTTTTATTGCCTCCCCCGCTGTGGCTGCCGCCGCTGCCTTCTTCCTTCCTGAGGTCCTGCGGCTTCTTGACACGATGCTTTGGAGAAGGCGTTGCCGCTCTTGTCGTCCATGGTATTTTGATTCTGGTGTCGTGGTCAGGAGACACTGAACGAGAGGGTTTGCTGCCCTCCTGTTTTATTTGTCCTCTCTGCCTGACGGCCAGTTCTACACTGAAGTGCTCCTCGGCACCTCAGTTGGGACTGGCAATCGCATGCGCCAACTCTTCTCTGCTTCTTTTCAGTGTCGCATTTTTTATTGATTGACGGACGCCATTCTGTCCGGCGTGCCACTTTGATTGGATTGTGTGGGACTGCTCGCCGACGTCATCGGAGAAAACAGGCCGACTTTTCACGTATTTAAATGCCATCTTGCGCGCAGGTATTTTTTTCACATGTTCAGTTGATGTGCACTCGAGCAGCGAGGAGTCCGGAGCTATGCGTGCGTGGAATTCTTCCTGCCATGTGGACTGCGGGCAACACCGAGGGGATGCCACTTTGACTCTGCAGAGTTGTTGTGTCTCTTCGCGGTGTTGGCAGGGAAATTCATGCAGCCAGCTACTGCTGGTGTGTCATTAGATGTTGTCACTCCATGCGAATAATGTGCTTCAGCGAGTGAGGGTGTCGATTGGGTTTGTGTGCGCTCTGATTGTGTTTGCTACTTTGTGCGGGCACGCAACACTTGAGTGGTGGGAAAATGGAGCGGGGCGATGCATGGCTGCGTCTCGCCCATTGTTCACTGTACGATGGCGCGGTGCGCATTGTGGTGCTGACTCTGCGATGTCACTGCGGTCTCCTGTGCGGCAATGGTGGTGGGTGGAGGAGAGTGTTGACCCGCGGCGTGACGGTGGGATCATGCCTCCTTTTTGTTCCTTCCCTTTTGTGAAGGTGTGCACTTATTTTTTGTGTCGGTGATGGGGCAAACAGACCGACAAAGTAAATAAAACAAAATAAAAAAGGGCGATAGTGTGGCGGTGTTGTGGCCAATTGCACTTTGTGTTGCTGCGGAGGCGGTGGGCCTCGACTGTTTCACCGACAGGTGTTGCAGTGCGGCTGCATGGCGCACCGACCACCGAGCCGTGCGAGTGCCACGCCCAACGCCATTGGGACTGCGGGACAAAACAGCCGCGAGTGTCGTTTGGAGCCAGCGGCACCTGCTGGCCGCAGTTGGGCGGTGCGAGTGGGATGCCTCACCGCACGGGTGTTGTGATGGCACCTCGCCGTGGCTCTTGTGATGGTTCCGGCGCTGCAGCTCGACATGTGGCGAGGAGTAAAGAGCGGCCGCAGTGAACCAATGAGCAGCACCAACATGAGGCTGAACGATTTCTCTTGGAATTATGTTGGCGGCAGGGCGGCTGTTGATGAAAGACCACAATGTGACGATGGAGATGTTTGTTCAGGAGCCGGATGATTACGTACATGACCAGCGGCTTCTTGAAGAAATTATTAACTCAACTGCGTGCCAAGCGCTGGAGGCCATTACTAAGCCTCTTCACGAAGGTGTGTTCTTTCTCGGGCAACGTAGGGACTATGAAAGAAAAGGATACGATCACTCCTCTTGTAAGGGGAAAACCAAACAGAGTACTCACGCAGGTACCGACAGAAGCGAGGCGGGAGGCAGCGGAAAGGCTAAGAGGAACGCAAGAAATGAAGTTTACCATTTCCACTAATATCGAAGACGTACTGTTTAAAGGAGGAGTTCGCGTCAATGAAATGAAGCTGAACGACTTTCTTACGAGGGAACTGGACGGCAGGGGCGTTGTGGACACCAATCGGGATGTCTTGCTGGAGGAGTTTTCAAGGACCCCACGAAGTATATCCGTGATGAAGGAGCGTTGAACGAAATGCAGGCATCAGGTCATTATTTGGGCATGAAGCGAGCTGTAAAGGGTGAAGTGACCTTCGGTGAGGATATACGCGGGCTTTGCGATAGGGGTTTCAACAACCTACCGGGGTGGTCATTGGCTGCTGCGGGGGTAAAAGCAACTGTTCATAACTCCAGTAAACATTTCTTGGATGCAGCTGCCGAGGAGGCGAGGAACCCAACGACGACGAGCGCACCGGAGAAACTGGAGGGAGTGTACGAGTCTGTGCACAATGCGAGGTGGAGCCATGCGGAGGAACTTCCGGACGGCGTGGAGCGAAAGAAAACGGTGACGGGAATGGGGGTGCATGAGGGGAGGCCAGAACAGTCATGGTCGTACAGGAAAGCTGACGACGCTATTGAAGAGAATGACGCTGTGCAGCAATCCGGTGCAGCACCTCCCGTGCTGATGGTGCTCACCTCGGAGAAGGGATGGCCGTACTCGTGGAATACGATACAGGATCTTCCTAAGGACGTTTTTGTAAACTGTGCGGTGGAGAGAGTGTGGCAGATCGTCAAGGGCGATGTAACCGCGTGGTTCAGCCCTCACGGTGGGACCGACTTTACGCCCAAGCGACGTGTGTTGATTGGGACGCCCGGGATCGGGAAGTCGATGGCTGCCGGCTCGTACCTCCTCTACCGGCTGCTGCACTGCGATGCCGAGAAAATCCAAGTGGTAGTCCACTGTTTTGGTGGAGGAGGTGCGTGCGTGTCTGACAAGACCACCAGAGCGGTGACAAGATGCAGCGATGAGGACATGTGCATCTCGGAGTTGAGAAGTTTGAGGGAGCGTGGGGGGAATGTGTATATTATCCACGGTGTGGCAAAGGAGGGAACGCCGCCACCGAGACATTTTGCGCCTACTTTTGGATGGGGCATGATTGCGGTGTCATCGCCAAAGGTAACCAACTATGATGAGTGGGCGAAGCAACCACAGGCCGCGCGAATCATCGTGAATTGCCCCAACGAGACGGATGTGAAGGCGATGTGCGCCTGGATGACGCGTGATGAGACCAAAGAGAAACAAGCGGAGTGCTGGAAAGAGGTCAAAAAACACATGTATCTTTTGGGACCGATTCCACGTCACGTCTTTGATGAGGAGGCGTTTAATGAACGCTGTGGAGCGGTGAAGTTTGCATTGCAGTCGATCAACGAGGGAACTGTGAAGGAGTACTTTTCACGGGGAGGTGAGTCGCCACGGTATTCTGAGGATCCGTCCCACAAGCCTGTGGAAGTTGTTCGGGAAATATACGCAGGCGGTGTGATCATTTTCAATGCACCGATATCTGCTTGCCTCGAGGAACGGACATTGGAACGCCTCCCAAGTGTAACAGAATAAAATGGCTTTTTGAAGCTGATGTTGGCGTCGAGGGATAATATTTTGCCAATATTTTTTGGATGGCTTGCTTTGAAATCGTTCACGGGGAGTGCCTTTGCCAAGGCAATGGCGACGAAACTCACGGAGTTTGAGCCGCCAACAGGACTTCAAGCAAAGCCCTGCGTCTTGAAGTTGGCCCCTGAACCGCATCCCAAGGGAGATGAAGGTTTGCTGCCGAGTGAATATGAAAAAAAGATCCGTAAAATGAAGTACGGGGTGCTGCACACACCGTGGGCCACAAACTTTCCGCTGGTGGACGTCTTTTTTTTTCTCGGAGTCCAATCCAATGACGCTGGTTGGGCTGCGGATGACCACGGCGGGTGGGCACCACACCACCGCCAGCACTGTGCGGCAGTTCACTGAGCGCCTGGCGGCATATTTTAATGGTTGGGAGGAATTATCCCGAGACATGTCGTGGGGGATTATTTACGTGCAGCAGACAGAAAGCATGCCGCTAACTGAATGGCAGAGATGTGATGTCGACAATTCCAATAATGTGAGCGACGATGAAAGCCGCGGAATAGCGGCGTTTTGGAAGGAAGAGGTGCGCCAGTACCAAGTGTCAATATTGAAAAAAGTTTTAGAAAATGTCGTGGGAGTTTTAACTTCGTGAAGCAAAAAGGCTCAGAAGAGAAAATGGAAGAAATAATTGAGGGTAATTGGCGCATTACTTTTATAATGAATTATGTTAGGGAGTATTTTAACTATTTTTATATTTTTGTGTTTTTACGAGGGTTTAGGTCAGGGAACGCCTTTCTTCCGAGGGAATCATTGTGGTCAACAGCGTCGCACCACTACAACTATTTTTTACTTTTATTTTGTTTTTACTTCTGTGAAGACTCCGTCGCCCCTGGAGGCCTTTGCGGGGTGTGGGGGCCGCATAATTTCTCTTTATTTTTGTGGTAGTTTGTGAGAAGAATGCCTGCGAGGATGGCTGGCTGCTTAAATAAATTTATATATCGATGCAACGGAGATGTCACTGCAGGATTTCTTCCTCTTTTATCGTGCGGTCTTCCAAAAGACCGCGATTGAGGGAGTCAGGGAGCCGACAGCTGTAGGACGAAATTATTTTTTCCTTTTCTTTATTTTTTTATTTCTTGTTTCATAGCCGTGCCGTATTCCTGCATGTTGATGTGAAGTGATGGCAGTGATTTTTTTACACGGCGACGGAGTGCGGCGACATCGTGGCCCGCGTGTTGGACCTGGTACGCCGGCATGGCGAGATACGGGTGCAGCTTGCCTTCATTGCTGAACACAGGCCGTTGGATGCGGTGGTAACCGTCGCTGCAACCATGACATGTTTGCGATTGATTTCAGCAAAGATCGCCAAGCACTGGGAGGGCTCAACCGTTGCGGGGCACTTTGCGGATCGCCGGGCGTTTCAAGTACCAAATTTCGATGCTCAAGTGCTCCTGCCCATCGTGTGGGGGCGGCCTGGGAGTTGGGGGCAAGCAAGGGCTCGTCATTGAGGAAAGGCAGATATTAATCTCGGACTACACCCGTGCCGTTGCGGACGTACAGAATTGGACTGCTCAGATTTAATTTCAGACGGAAGAGGTGCCCACCTCTCGGAGAGGGCCGCCAGATGGCCCCACGCATGCACGGCGATGGCGGAAACACACAGCCAAATCAACCGCATCGTTTGATGGCCTGGGGCGTTCCAGCATCCGCGTTTTCCCAACCCAATCTTGCGGGGGAGAGACGGCGGGTCAACACTCAGAATTCTCAGAGCAATTCGGGAAAACACATTTTTCTTTTTTTTTGCCGTTGCCTCCCCACCCTCCCCTTGGAAGAGGATTCCGGTTTGGAAGGTTAAGTGATGCATTTTCTTGCATTGGAGGTCACCATCTGGGCTCCGCGTGTATGGAATGAGGGCATCTCCGAAGTTTTCGTTAATCTCCGGAGCGCATACAGTTATAAATGCTTGCGCCAGGCGGACGCTCAGGTTCAGCCAGCCTTTGACGGTTTGGTATCGTGCAGGCGCGCGTTGGAGATAGAGCGGGATCCTGCAGATCGTTTCATTGATTTGTTTAGGGCTCTACTGCAGACCTTCCAGTTGCAGATGATGACTACTGAGTCCAGCGTCCCGATCTCCGAACTGCGCGCCGGCCCACGCACGCAACAGCAACGATCGTTGCGATGCCGATTGTGCCGTATTTATGGACGCGACGCATCCACGTGCAACGTCGGAGACGCAACCAGAGGAAGTTACTCGCAGCGCAGATGGCCGTCAAAAAATGGCAAAAGGGCTGACCGCCGCTTATAGGAGCGGAAGACGGCAGCCCCAGCCATTCCGCCACCTCCCACTATTCGCGCCGCACCGCCAACGCTCCACCCGATATTTTGAATTGCCCGACGCAATCATCGAGAATGGCAATGGAGGTTATCCGCCAACGACGCTCGACTGTGGTACGACGAATCACCGACATCTCCGCTTTGGGCCAGTTACATGAGGAAAGCAAGCGAGGTGGCTCGAGAGATGTGGGCGCCGTCAACGTGGGAGCAGAGAATGTCCCTAGCTGGGCAATTCACGCATTTTTGCCACACGCACGAACAGCCGATGAACGAGGAAAGCTGTGCGGCCTTTTTGATGGCAATATTAGATGTGGCTCCATCGACCCAATTGCGGTACGCCAGGATGCTGCGGTCCATGTTGGAAATTAATGGAACCCCGCTGGACATGATGATTCTGGAGCTACAAAAAGTTGCGGCGCGATCGGAGACGAGGCAGACGAAGCAAGCGCGCCCCTTGACAGAGGAAGAGATGAATCAAGTAATCCGCAGCCGGACCGATTGGAAGGAACGTGTTGTCTTACGACTCGTGTGGATAACGGCGAGTCGTTGGTCCGAGATTGCGGCCTTGACTCCCAACAATTTCACACTGGAGGCGGACGGGGCCTTAATTTTGGATTGGTCCGTGGCGCCGAAGACGGCGAGGGCGGATCCCCACCGCGCCTCTAATTTTGTGAGGATACGGGGCAGGACGTGTTCGACATTATAAAGTTATGCAGGACACTTCAAGAGAAGGAAAAGCTCACGAATCTGACGACTGCTCAAGCCAAACGAGCTTTGGCTCCTTGGGATGCCACGGCGCATTCCATAAAACGGGGTGCGTTGCGGCACGCTGCTCAAACCGTGGAGGCGTACAATTTGGACCCACACGTGATCTCACAGTTGGCGAAGCACGTCGACCCGTTCGACCTTCCACAGGATACTGTTTGATATTTGGGGAAGTGCACCACACTGCTGACCCAGGTGTCGTCGCTGGTCGCATTGATGTGAAGGGAGAAACGGCGGAAGGGCAGGAACCCTGGTTGAGAACGGAGGAGCGTTTTTTCCATGATTTTTATCACAATCATGCCGCTGCAATAACGAGACGCGCGACAGGGACGCGTCCGGCCACTCCACACGACGAACGAACCATCCCGCTACAGCAACAAGTCAACGTGCCCGTGTTGAATCTGGAGTGGATTAAAAGTCGGCTGAGCCCGGCCACCTTGGAGAGTCTCATGCAAGTTTGAGGACTCGTCGGGCGGTCCCCTGTCCCTCCGTCTTCCTCCGGTAAAGCGCGCGAAGGCTCACGGATAATTCCAACCGCTGACGCGCATTTATTACGAAAAGCAGGAATTATCGAGGACGCTTCGTCCACAATAACAGGCGGATGGATAATACCCTTCTCAGTTGTGAAGGAGAAAACCACCGCTTTACGACGACGATGGATCGCGTGGCCACGCGACAAGAACAGAGACGACCCTTATGGGGCTCATTTTCCTCTTTTACACATTTCCCATTATTTGCCGCCTGTGATGGCTGAGGCCGCTTCCTGCCTGGATCTAAAGGCATCCTTTTTTCATAGTCTCTTTAACGCGGGAGACTCGGCATCTCTTTCGATGCCGCGTGGAGGACGGCACGCTGGTGGATCTCACACGGCTCCCAGTGGGATACAAGGCCGGCCCAGAAATTCTCCAGATTATTATTGCTTCGGCAATTGCGGTGGTGACGACGGTGGTTCACCCCCTCTGGGCTGCACCTCCATCGGTGCGTGTCGACGTATAGATCGGTAATATACGCATTGCAGGGTCGAAAAGCGACGCGACATTGTGGGAGGCCCAAGTGCTTCGTAATGCGGACAGCCGTTGCACCACGATGGGGGAGGACCGCGAATCGGGCGCCACGCAGTACACCTTTCTAGGGGTACAGTTTGATCACACACTCCAGGCGGTATCCCTGAGTGAGAAGTTTGTCCGGCCTGTATGCGCCATGCCGTCGCTGAAGTATTTAACCATCGCGGAAATGGAGGTTATGGCGTCACGCTTTTTGTACGCGGCGGCCATTTTTGGCACGCGTTTATGCGACTACTACTTTTTCATCAAGGCAGTGCAACAACGATTATCCGCACTTAACCGGGGGATTGTGCTGGAGACATCCCCGGCAAACGTTCCGTCGGCAGCGGTTGGTTTGGGCGAAGGATTGCGACACATCATCGAGAATACAATCGTAAGCGAATCATCAATTCCACGGAAAAGTCATCGGCCGCCATCATCACGGATGCGTCGCTCCATGGATGGGGAGCCATTTTCATTCCAGACTCCGGCGACGTTAAAATTGCCGGAGGGAAATGGGAGAAGAAGCCTTTTCTTATCATGCAGGCCGAGGCGCGCGGTACGCTTAGCCTTGTCGGCCTTTTCCGCCATCTTGCCATCCACCATGGACGTTTGGGTGGACAACACTTCGCCGCAAGGAGCGGCGAATAAAGGCAGCCCAAAATCACACGCGTTGACGTGGGAGCTGCAACGGATATAAGAGTTTTTGGACTCTCGCGGAGTGCAGGCAACTTTTGCCTACGTGCGGTCTGCGGAAAACCCGCAGACGGCATATCACGCGGTTGTGTTTTTACACTTCAGGACTTGGCGAAGGGGAGCGGCGGGGTCTTGTGGCAGGAGGACCCCAAAGTCTGCCACTTCGTAAGTAATAATTTTCAAATCCTAACTGAGGACGAAGGACCATGCTAATGGTCCACAGAATTCTATACATTGAATGAAAAGAAAAAATTGAAGCAATTAACTAACGAACCTTTTTTCCTAACTTGTTTGGTTTCCATAGATAATTTCAGGATCCGGCCAGCTGCCTGGAAGATTATTCTAGTTTTTATTGCTAATTATTTGCTGTGTGGCTGTGTGTGTGTGCTGTTTTTCTCTCTCACTGATTCTAACTGCCCCATGGTGTGTGCAAGCTGCTATTATTTGTCGCTGCGTGTGGTTGAATAATTTCTCTCTCTCTTTTTGCTTTCACTCTGCGTTGACGTGTTGTTAGTTTGTGCTGAAGGCCACACGCAAGTGACAGGAGTGATGGCGATGATGATGACTGGCCGTGTGCTGCTGGTGTGTGCCCTCTGCGTGCTGTGGTGCGGTGTATTTGGAATTGCGGCCGAAGAAGTTGGCGGTGCCGATGGCAGTGCGGTTGAGTATTCGTTCGCGGGACGGCACGTTCAGCTGCGGAGGGGTTGCGCGGAGGAAGTCAACAGGAGGACAGGAGGCGGTGCGAATGCGTCCGCCGTTGAGGAATGCGTGCGTCGAGGGACGGACGGTGTGCGTGCCGTTGTGGATGGCCGTAGCCGTTGGAGGCGTCAACAGTTTGCCGTGGCTGCTGCTGCTGATGGTGTTGGTGATTCTGGTGATAAAAGTGGCGAAGGCAGCGATGTCAAATTGAAGGTATTATCTTCTTCAGACCAGATGTTGGAAGCGGGACAAGATCCAGAAGAGGGACAGGAACATACAGGTTCACCGGAAGTGACGAAAACGTTGGAAACAAACAAGGATTCACAAAAAACAGAAGAACAGAATGTCAGTCCAGATGGCGATCGTTCCAAACAACCTGAGAGTCAAGAGCCAGCAGTCGGCCAACCGGAAGGTGAGGGAAACACGAGAAATCCCCAACCACGACAACCACCACCAGGAACAAACAAATTACAGTCAGAAGAAACACATCCACCAATTACGGCGGAAAAACATTCAAAGTCACAAGACGGACGTCCCGCACAAGAAACGAAGGTGCTCCAAACGAAAGGTTCAACAAAGCACGAGGAAGGAGCATCCTCCTTGCATTCATCGGAGAACGTATCGCATTTGAGTCGAGAAAGTACAACACCATTATCTACCTCCACAGAGAGCAGTAATATTGCCGGAAGCACGGTGGAGAAAAGTGGTGCTAAAAATTCCAAAACTACTGCCGCCTCAGTGACACAACACGATTCCGAGGGAGATACTGGCCCCGCTGCTCTGCCAGCCAGCACCAGTGAATTGCAATCAGATGAAATATCTAACGCTGGTATAATTGCCGCGACACATCGTGACGGCGACGACGACAGCAGCCCTGCAGCTTCTATTGCTGAAAGGCCTACCGCTGGCACAAGAAGCACTAAAGCCTCTGGTGATGCGAGTGACCTTGACCAGTCTAATAACGACGACGTCAATGATGACGTGGCACACAACGGTAAGACCGCAGAATTTGAAGCCGCCTCAGGAACCAGGGACAATAAGGCAGATAATAATGAGAGATACACAGCAGTAACAGAGAACGCCACCAATAAATCAAGCAATACAGAGACCACAGCAGACAGCGACAGCAGCACCGCGGTCTCCCACACCACCTCCCCTCTTTTGCTTCTTCTTGTTGCGTGTGCTGCTGCTGCTGCGGTGGTGGCCGCGTGAGAGTGAGGGAGAGAGAGCCGTGCACCGCCCGCACACACACTCGTCCTTCTCTCTCTGTGTGTGTCCCCTTGCATGGACTCTCGCCCTCACCTCACCCCACGAGGCACACACATAATGTGCCCATTGTATATATGCATGCACACCCATGCAGGCCCGTTGGTGCTCTCTTTTGCACGACACGCACCGCTGCCGTCCTGCCTGGCTGCATGGGCGGAGCACCGTAACTGTTTCTGTTTTGTTTCCATTGCATTGAGTGGTCGACCTCTCTCTCTCTCCCTGTGTGTGTGTGTTTTGCTTTACGGGAGCAATGAGAGTGTGTGCGCTGGTCGTCCCACGCTTTGGCTTTTTGTTTTATTTGTGTTGTGGTTGAGTACACCAGTTACAATTCTTTTTGATTGGCAGTTTGCTTTGAGTGCATAAGTCTAAATTCTCTTTTTGTATTTTTTCTTTTTTCCTTTGAGATATTGCCAGTGTTTCTTACTCTTGTCAAGCCATGAAGTATTTTCTGTTACGTACAGCATGCGACAGTTGATCCATGTCACTTCACGGTCTGCAGTGCTGTTGGTGCTTCTGGTTGTGATGATGTTTGTGATGTGTTGTGCTGGCGGGTGCTTTGCTGCCAGCCTGACGTACTCCTACTCCTCTGACAAGGCGATGCGTGCGGACAGGGCGAAGTCGATCCCGGCTGTGGTGAGGGACGTGTCTTTTGGATATGAGGGTGCGTCGCAGACATGTACCGTCATTGGGAGGAATGGATGGGCGCCCACCCGTATCAATGTGTCGACAAGGGACCTGGATGGTACCAGGAAGTATTGCAGCTCAGAGCGGTATTGCGCAATGAATTCATTGGTGGCAATTGCGAGTGTGAAGGTGACTTTTTTCTATGATGAGAAAAGGGAAGTATTTGTTTCGTTATACTTTGCAGCCACTGTTCGTTAATGGCCTGCGGACTGTCCGTGGCGATGTGGCCGGTTTTTCCTTTTTGAATGGTGCTGTCGTGCGAGAGGGTGTTCCAAATAGTCGGATGCTCAGTTGTCGAGGACGGGGGCATTCCCACAGCGTGTGCGGCAGGGCCTCCCGTGGATTGTCGGGGCTCAGCGGTTGGTGGTGGTTGCAGCAGAGGAGTGACTGAAGGGCCACGGCTGTCATTGGAGCCTGCAGAGGTGCGTTGTCTGTTTTTTGCTCGTTGATACGCTTGACATTTTCGGTAGTGACCTGCGTGTGAGGCACTTGTTGAGGAGACCGTGGAGCTGTCGCAGAATCCACATGTGAGGCCTTCTGCAACGATTGGAGTGCCAGGGATAGTGCGTCGGGCGTGTGCCTTCATGTTGTGGACGGACGAGAAGACGCTGCTGCAGCTTGGGCAGGGCGACGTTGATCTGCTGCTCGTCGTTCTACGAGGGGGTGCCGTGGACACGCCAGGTGGAGGTTCCGGAGGAGTTCGGGGTGGTCCTGCCTCTTCAGTGTGAGAGGGCAGCGCCACCGAAATAAGGGTTGCTTGTGATCCGCAGGGCGCGTGCCAGTATGCCGAGGAGTGGGCAGGAGGACGTCCATCAGCCGCTTGCTGGTCGGCAAGGAGTGGCGGTATTCAAGTCAGGAAGAGGTTACGGCGGAGGCAGAGCACAGACGCGGTCCCAACAGCACCGCAGCACAGCCGATCCCAGAGGGCAGGGACGTGGCGCCGCCATGCCTCGGGGTATCACAGGCCTGGGCTCGAGAGAGTACCAAGCTGTTTCGCACGGACCTCTAGCAGCATGGATAAGCCATGGCGGAGGGCATGATTGCGGTCCTCCCGTTTGCGGAGCACTTCAGCTCGTGGCAGGCTGCCGCTGCAACACACTCGGCCTGCTCCATTCCGTCCGTACAGATTCCTGTGGGAATGTCACGGCTGCCACTTGTACGGTGCCTCGGTGCATCTCCAATCATGTGATCACAGTGGCCAGAGGTGTTCCACGCGCCAAGGTGGAAGCATCACGGTCAGCCTCACGCAGGACAACGGCGTCATGTTTCCGTTGTGGCAGCATGCCTGCCTGTTGCGGGATGTCGTCCTCCGTCCCTGCAGTGTGGGATGGCAGATGGTGGTCCGAGTCCATGTAAACGGGTGGACGTCCAGTGGGAGGCACACAGTGCGCGTTGCGCAGTCACGTCGGGAACCGAGACACTGCGGCCACTGTTCCACGTTGCCTGTGCCAGGTCGTCGGAAAGCTCAATCTCCATGCCGGTTGGGATGACGGCGAGTTCATCTCCTGCCGCCGTGGATGGCGAGCGACCGTCCCGCAGCTCATGGTGTGAATTCAGGTAGCAAATAACCGCTGCGGGGCCAAGACGACGAATGGTGTTGCGCCAGTCGAGCAGCAGGGCAATCCTGAGGGGCGAAGGCATGAAGTTCTCAGCTGCCAGATAACTACGAGGCCATCCTCATCGGAGCTGCGGCTCTTGCGGACACCACCGCAGCGGGTGATGCCGACGGAGTGACCGCACTGAAACGACTGTGCGGTTCTGTCAGTCGGGCTGCAGGCAAACCGCCTCGCCGCTCCACAACTAACGGAGCGTGGCACCTTCTCGAGGGACGATGCCGTCGTGGTCCCCATCACGCTCGCAGCAATGCCCTGCCGCAATCACTCCCACAGAGAGACAAGGAAGAGTGTGTGGATGTGTGCCGAGAGCACAGCGACTGTCATCGTCAGAGGAGGCCATCGTGGCACCGTCCGTCACGCGTCAGCACACACCGAGCAACGCTCGCACCCGGCAGAGCAAAAATAAAGGAGGAGAGAAGAATTACCCCAAGAGCAGGCAACTCCTTCACGCATGGCGGGCATCGTGCAGCCGCGTCAGCACGGGACGCAAGCCAACGTCCCTACCTTCGCCAAATATTCTTACAGAGCACCGTACAAAGACTTGCGTGTGTGTGTGTGCGCTAGAGAAACGGGAAAAGGAGGAGCACAGGGAGGCACATCAACACAGCAAGAGGCACAGCTGGATGGCGGCGATACATGCGGTACGGTCCCAACCTCAACCACCACGCACGGTGACAGCACACACCATTCACAAAAAAACAAAAAAGAAATCTTAAAAACACGGCGGCAGGGTGTGGCTGTGTGTGTGTGGCGCTGCGGGTGCCTGCCCGCCCTGGCCGCAAGAAAACAAAACAAGAGGGAAGAAATGTGTGCTCCGCCCCACAGGCCCTCGTCGCACGCCCACACGTCACGGCTCCCTCAGCGCGCCGTTCGTCGCGGCCCCTCCTCATGCGTGCAGCAGGCGAGGCGCACAGGGCCGTCGTCATGAGCGTGTCGGTGGGTGTGCGAGCGGAGCAGTTGGGCGGAAACACACGGCACCCCTCACAGGAAGAGTGCAGAAGAAACAATTAAAGAGGGAAGAGTAGAAAAGAAAAAAAACGTCCATAGTGATTGCCCCCAAAAGCAAAAAGAGGGATGGTGGAGCAAAAGATTAGGAAACAAGAAAAAAAAAAGAAATTAAAGAAAATAAACCATAAAAAAATGAAAAAAACTCACAACGCCCCGTAGTATGTAAACAGCAAGAAAAACACACAAAAAACAAGTAACAAAGAAACAACAGCAGAGAAAAAAAAGGAAGTAAAAAAATAAATAAAAACACAAAAAACAAAGAAGGAGCTGCAACAAATGGCTCCAGTGTGCATGCACTCACACACAGACATGCGTCCACGCAAAAAGTTGAGTGCGTGTCGTGCATACGAATGTGTCTGGGACGCGAGCCAAGTGACGGATACAGGGAGCAGAAAAATGGAGAACACAGTAGCGCAGCAGAAGCAAATGAAGCAAAACACAATCATTATTTTATATTACTTACTAAGCAATAAAACAAAAGAAGCTCACAAATCCACGTGGTTGAGTGCTGGCAATAATAGCTCGCATTCACTTCTTCAGCCCAGTGTCCCGTAGGTGAGCGCAGCCAGAACAAGCGGTGGCAGGGCATGCAGACGGGTGTCATGGAAGCAGGCGTCAGTTCCCACACTGTTCTCCAGAGCGTTCGTTGTGGGCGCAGAGGAAAGGGGAGCCGGCATGCTTGCCGCCGTAGAATTTCCTTCGCTGGAAGCAGTGTCGGTGGTGTTGGTGGCGGTGTCCTCTTCGGTGCCTTCCGCTGCGCCCCCGTCCTCGCCGGTCTGGGGCAACTGAGTCGGTGGCGCAGCAGCAGTCTCTTCCTGCAGCTCCACTGGAGGTTCATGGGAGGAGTGGTCGCCGCCTTCTGTGGGCTCCAGATCTGGTGGGGATTCGGGTGCAGGAGAAGCAGCAGAGGCAGAATGTGAAGGGCCTTGAAGCTCACCAGAGGGGGCGGAATCCAGTGCTCCCAAGGCTGCAGCAGAAGGATCCGTCTTGGCCGCAGCGTCAGCAGCAGTGCTAGCAACAGCGCCGCCTGGAGTTGCAGTTTGAGGTAGAGGAGGAGGAGGGTCACCAGACGCACCCGCAGCGCCAGCAGGAGGAGAATCAGAATCTGTTGTGGAGGTGTAACCGGGAGCCTTGTGTTCTTGAGGCCCCAGAGGTTCGGCTTCCGGACGTGTGGTCGGACCGCTTTCAATGGTGGCCGCCTTCGGCTCCACTTTACGCTTCCACCAAATCTCCAGGATGTTTGGAGTGGGCGATGTGACGTTGATCTTGAAGACAGCATCCTTCACACCATCTTTGGTGCGACTCTGTGAAGCCTCGGACGCACAGTTTCCTACGCCCATGCCGCAAATCATCTTTCCCGCACCAGAAGCTGCATCCGTGCAGTTGTACCACAATGACCTCCCAGGGAGTTGCCAGCGCCCGAGTTTATCCTTACCCACACATACTGCATTCACCTGCGTTACCTCCTGCTCTTGCTCCTCCCCTCCCTTCACGGCAAACACGCAAGAGCAGCAGCACAGTAGTGCCAGCACCAACAGGACACAAAACACACGGCGCATCATCGTCAAAACTTTCGTTGTTGAATAACGTGGATTCGATCTGCAAGAGCATGAGAAAGAAAGTAGAGAGAGACAGCAGCTACGCCACGCACAGCCACCGCATGGTAATAAATGGCAGCAGCCAGAAGAAGCGCACACCAAAAAGACAAATGGAATCATTACAACTGCAGAACTCACACACCGCCACGCAAACCAAAACTTAAAAAGGCGGAAAAAACAAAAAAGGAAAAAAAAAATGATGGGAGTCCAACAGAACTCCAGGGGAGGAATATAAAAAATCAATCGGGCAGAAATTCTATTTCATATGCTAAGAAGCACAAGACAACCGTGTGTGTATGTGAATACATAACGCCTTTAAGAAAGAAAAAAAAAGACAAATAAAAAAAATATCGTACTGTTCCACCAGCCCACACAACATCCCTCACACGTCATTTCGGCATCCGGCCTGTTCCTCCGCTCCTCCTTTCGTGCAGTCCGCGGGACGCAGAGCAATGAGGCCGACATAGCGAATGGACAAAAAAGAAAACAAGATGGAAAACACGTCACTCATAACGATGTGTAGAGCAGTTAAACAGCCATTGGGAAAACACAAAGATAATTATTATTCCAATAAAACACAAGCAGCAAAAAAAAAGAAGAAAAAAAAAATTAAAATGAGGTCCTTGACAACATTCGGTAAGCCCCAGCGATGAAGTCGCACCTTGTCGCGGTGCTGGGCTCTGGCTGCATATAGGAACTCCGATGCGGTGCATTGCGGCGAGCACGACGGAGACCAAGACGACTCCACCCCTCGAGAAGGTTCCACGCCATGCCCGGTGCGGGGAGGTGAGGCGGTCAGCCTGCAGACTGTCGGACAAAACTGCACGACCGTTTCGCGGCGGTCACTCCGTTGATATCCCCGTGGCGGTGACGTCCACAAGAATTCCGGCACCGAGGAGGATGGCTACATCACTATTTGGCGGCTCAAAATTGCAGGCCTCTCGTCCGCAAAAAAGGTTGGATCTGCTGCGCGACTGGAGTTGCCCCAACCTGACACCGTTCTTTTCCAGAAAACAAATACTCAAAGTGCCACAGCGGCAAAACTATATGGCCATAATGGCTTTCTTCAGACCGCACTGGGCGCGGTGGTGGCGTTGCTGTTCCGGTGCGCCACTCTCTGCCGTGCGAGCGCCTGACGCTCCCTGGCACAGACCTCCTGGAGACCATTGCTGTCCGTGCAACTCCACAGGGCTGTCCCAGCATCTGCGTGGTGAATCTCTACAGCCCTCGCACAGCAATTGTTCAAGGCTCTTCGTTTATTAGCACCATTCGTCGCTCAGGCCCCGCAGCGATTATCGCGGGTGAACTGAATTTACGTCGTGAACTCTCGGACAGTCATATGCCCTCAACGACTGGAGGAGAGGATTTGTCCTCTACTCTAATTGACATGGATTTTGGGCTGGCAAATGGCCCGGCGCAGGCAACACGGATCACACATCGTAATGTCTCGTCCCCTGACGTGACTGCGTATCGCGTACTACGCATCACCCACTGGACATTCGCCCCCTACATGGATTCGGACCACTGCTTAATATCTTACTCGGTAGGGATGGATGATGGCATTCCGCGAATAGCCAACACGCTGCCTTGACGGAAGAAAGCCACTTTTGCCCTGCGTAAAGCGGACTGCCTGCTTTCACCTCGTTGTGTGAAACACTCCTTGCCGCCGCGTCCACATGGTTGGACATTCGCAGTGGTGTCTTACGAGCAGCTGAGCGCCACATCCCGCGCGGCAGCCGCGACAGCCCAAAACAATATGGAAAAACGAAATGGAACAAGCCGAGTCCGCCGTAGAAGCAGCACACAAAGCACACACATCGCCTCGCCAGAGACATCCTGCTTCGAGCCGAATACATCCAAAAATATGGAGAAACGAAATCAAGCCTTACGTCGTGGCTTCACTATGCTTCTGGAAGCCTGCGCGAAAAGACTTGGGGCCTCACCCAGCCCGAGGTGGCGATATCTTCATGGCGTGGCGGCGCCGTATCCTCATTCCCTGGAATCGGTTGTGCTCCGAACTGATCCTCGGACCGCGTCTGTGTCCTGCCTCGGCAACAGGCAAATCTGCTTGTTCGTCATTTTGTGCGGGTTTCACGTGCCACATTAAATTATACTGCTGCTGCTGCTCGTCGCGCTCCTTTGTTTCCTGGTGACTGGGAAATGGATCGGCCTCTCACGCCATATGAACTTGACGTGGCCATCCGCGACTCTTCGCTCGGCTCAGCCCCTGGCCACGACAACATGTTGAATGAATTCCTGCACCGTCTCGGGCCCGTTGCGTGCGGCACTCCTAGAACGATGATCCACAACTCCTTCGCAGATGGCAGTCTGCCTGGCTCCTGGAATACGGTGGACACCATTCCCATTCCCAAACCTGAGAAGGATCCATGCCGCCCAGAGAGTTACAGACCTATCACGCTACTCTCTGTTTTACTAAAGTTAACCGAAGGAATGATTCACCGCCGTCTATCAGCGTTACTGCCGCACCGCCCACGTCAATTCGGGTTCACACCTCCGCGTTCAACATCGGACGTGGTGACACTTGTTATTGGTAAAATTGCCCGTGGATTGAATGAGTCCAGTACTGTGGAGTATGAGCGCCCTGGAGGCGGCGCCCCACAAGCCACCCTCGTCACCATCGCTCGCTCGTAGTATTGATTGATTTTCCAACTGCGTTCGACACCACTGACCATGGGAATTTATTCTGCATGCTTGACAGACTCCGGCGCCTTGGCCCCAAACCAAAAGTCGGCTGCATAACTACATGCGGGGCCGCCATGTTAGGGTATGCACTCGCGAACAGCACTCCCGGAAACAACTCGCCTCAGCTGGAGCACCACAAGGCGGCGTCCTGCTACCCCAACTCTCTCTCCGCCATGTGTGTGATGTGCTGCGCCGCATGGAGAACATCTATTCTGCCTCCGCTTTCATGTACACTGACGAACACACACTTGTTGCCTCAGGTGCGGACATCCATGCATGTGCTGCGGCAATGCCACCCGCCCTGTCACCTATAACGACATGGGCTGTCGAGCACAACCTAAAAATCAACGTTGATAAGAGTGAATCTGCTCTATTCTACATCTCTTCACACACACACGGTCTGACGAGGACATGGTCGATCTCCTTCCTGGCAATGGGAGACTACGCATTCAGTCATGCCCAGTGCGCTTGCTGGGCAACACGTTCGATCGTCTTCCTAATTTTGATTACGCACGCTTCCACCGATGCAAAGCAGACCATGCCACGCCGTTACCAATTACGGCCGGTTGCACAGGCTGGTGCTTCCCATCACAATACGCAATCCTTTTCGATTGGATACGGTCATGGTGTGTAACTGTATTCTGGCAAAGCAATTGTCCCATGCCTTGTCCCCACCTGCCTCCATAATATGGAAGTACTGTACCGCAACAGTTGTAAAACACACCTTGGCATTTGCGCACCAACGGAAGATACATCTGTCTAATTGGAAGCCAATCCTCTTCGGCTCCGGAAGATACTCTGGCTCCGCCACACCAATCAACACGAACGCCATGCACGTTTCCATAATCACGGGGATTTGAGTTCCCTTATCTACTCGGAACCTGTGCCGCTGTCCATGCAGAGGAAAGCGGCGACATCAATCCCACTTCCGAGAGATGCCGTTATTAATGGATTACAATCCTTCTGTAACATTATTGGGATACCACACAACCACAATCACGCTCCTCCTATTACCCAACATCGAATTATTCCCTGGGACGCCGTGGGCCGCAATAACGTGAGATCTTATCAGCCATGCTTTGCCAACGACGCCTCTGACGATGTCAGGCGCACGGCTTTTGATTCCCTTTACTCCTCTCTAGGAGATTATGATTTTGAATTATGGACAGACGGTTCCTCATCCCTCGCTGAACTCGCATCTGGATCCGCTGCGCTATTATATGACTCCACCACGACAAATGATCTCCCTGTGGAGGTACATCGTGCAGCAGCTGGCAGCCTCGCATGCTCATATAGAGCAGAGTGCCTTGCCACTGAAAATGGCTTTAGACATCTCATACCTCCTCGTCTGGGAACATCCCAATCGTCCACACAAACCCCGGTGTCAACCGACTCCCTGTCGGCAACTGAGGCACCCCGCGTTGCCCCACTGGCCGTGCGTGAATGCGTTGCTGAAGGGATTTGGGCTATGCTGCTTTCCTTGGTGAAGCGAGTTCACCCCGCACACTTCATATTTCCGCCATCGCGCTGCGGCGCCCCACGCACTGAGGCCGCTGACGAAGAAGCCACGATTGCACGATCCCTCCAGTAATGAGGCATCCCCATCTGGCACGTGAAATTCCACACCACCGTCAAGAGGTTGTACTGGAAGGAAGTCGAGGAGGAAAGGAAGGAGTACACCGCACGCCAGGCGCTCGTCGGTGTGGCAAGGACCATTCCTGGTGTGCAGGCAGACATCGGGCATCGAATCACGACTTTGTGCGCGGGTGCGATGCGACTCCTGCCCACTCCTCGGCAGACAGGCACGCGCCCTGCAGATCACAGGCAACTCCATTATGTCGGTGGTGCCGTCCCTACCTCTCACTGAAGAGGCAGGACCACCCCGACCTCCTCCGGAACCTCCACCTGGCGTGTCCGCGGCACCTCCTCGTAGAACGACGAGCAGCGGATCAACGTCGCCCTGCCCAAGCTGCAGCAGCGTCTTCTCGTCCGTCCACAACATGAAGGCACACGCCCGACGCACTAACTCTGGCACTCCAATCGTTGCAGAAGGCCTCACATGTGGATTCTGCGACAGCTCCACGGTCTCCTCAACAAGTGCCTCACGCGCAGGTCACTACCGAAAATGTCAGGCGTATCAACGAGCAAAAAACGGACAACGCACCTCTGCAGGCTCCAATGACAGCCGTGGCCCTTCAGTCACTCCTCTGCTGCAACCACCACCAACCGCTGAGCCCCGACAATCCACGGGAGGCCCTGCCGCACACGCTGTGGGAATGCCCCCGTCCTCGACAACTGAGCATCCGACTATTTGGAACACCCTCTCGCACGACAGCACCATTCAAAAAGGAAAAACCGGCCACATCGCCACGGACAGTCCGCAGGCCATTAACGAACAGTGGCTGCAAAGTATAACG